AAAAATGTTGTATGTATATCACCTAATAAAATTCAGCAAGTTTCTTAAGAGTTCAATACTGAAAATAACATTAATTCTCTAGTTTCAAATTTAAAACTTCACTTTTTTTTTTTTTAATTTTAGCAGGATTGCTTAAATGATTACCAATCACTTCTTAGTCAATCTTGTGCCCCATTCATTATAAGATAATATGTTTCTTGATAGAAAAATAATGATAGCAAACATTTATGACCATTTACTATGTACAAGCACTGTTCTAAGTGTTTGACACATTGTAACTCATTTTATTTCTCACAACAAAGCTATGATTTATTATCTGCATATTACAAATGAACATACTCAGCAACAGAAAAATTGAGTAATTGTGTAGGTGTACAGAACTACTAAGTGACATAACCAGGCCAGGCCTTGTAGTTACCTGTGGAGCTCTATGGAGCCCTGGTGGCACAATGGTTAAGAGATTGGCTGTTAACCAAAAGGTCGGCAGTTCAAATCCACCAGCTGCTCCTTGGAAACCCTATGGGGTAGTTCTGCTCCGTCCTATAGGGTCGCTATGAGTCAGAATCGACTCAACGGCAGCAGATTTTATAGAAACAACTTCTCAACCTCAACCTAGGTCTGGAGAATTAGAAACTGAGGGTGGAACCCAGGCATCTCAGTGTTTTAAGAAAGGGTTGACATAACCACTACAGACTGTCTTTGATTGACTCTAAAAGCTTCCTTTTATTTCTATTACTTTTTAAGAAAAGACCTCTTAACAGTTACACAGTTAATTATGAAACATGTATTATCGTACTTTTGAAATTGAATTAGATGATTTGACTTCTGTTTATTTGAATTTATTTTTCATTGATGACCCTAAAATGAGAAGTAAATAGCAGCTGAAAAACAACATTTAACTATGAAACCATTGTAAATTTAATGATACAATTTTTGATTTTCCTGTTATCATAGTAACTTTGTAATCTTAACTAGCAATATGCTAACTAAATAGAGTATTCATTAATGCATGTAAATTTTCATTTCTACTCTTAAAGGAATTCTTTATATATTCCATTGTTGATGTCACAGGAAATGTATAAGTTAATTCTTCAGGTCTGGAATTAACTCTTTAATTATTTCTTTATTCATTCGTGTATTTTTTTTACTTCCTGTGCCCCAACATTTTTTTAAGTGATTTTTAAAACTGAGTAAAATTAACCTACTTTGAAATTCAAAAGTCTTAACAATATAGTTCAGTGTGTTTTAGTCGATGTGTATACACACACGTAACCACCCCCCCCCATAAACAAAATAGAGAACATTTCCATCATCCTGGAAAGTTCCCTCATGCCACCTACCAGTCAGTTTCCATAGGTAGCCGTCACAAACAGCTACTATTCAGATTTCCATCACCTTACCTTGGTTTTTCTGGTACTTGAAATTCATATATATAAAGTCATATGATGTGTACTCCTTTATGTCTGGCTTCTTTCACTCAACAAAGTACTTTTGTGTTTCTTCGACGTCATTGAATGTATCAGTAGTTCATTCTTTTTAAGTGATGAGTAGTATTAAATTGTATGGTGTCTCAATGGTTGAGCACTCTGCTGCTAACCAAAAGGTCAGTGGTTTGAAACTACCAACCACTCTGCGGGAGAAAAGACTTGGCAATCTGCTCCCGTGAAGATTATAGCCTAAGAAACCTGCTAGGGTAGTTGTACTCTGTCATACTTGGTTGCTATGAGTTGAAATTGACACGACAGCACACAACAACAATGACATTCAGTTGTACGAATATACCACAATTTGTTTATTCAGTCTACAGTTGATGGACATTTGAGTTGTTTTCAATTTGGGGCTATTATGAATAAAGCTGTGTGTTTTCCAAATATTCGGGGCTTTCCTAGATATCTTATTATTATTGATTTCTAATTAAATTTTGTGGTGGCCAGAAAAAATACTATGTAAGATTTCAGTCTGTTGAATTTATTGTGAATTACTGCCCAGTGTATGGTTTATCTTGCTGAATGTTCCGTATGTACTTAAAAGGAATCTGTACTCTGCAGTTGTTAGGTGTAGTATTCTAAAGATGTCAATGAAGTCAAGGTGGTTGATAGTATTTTTCAAATATAGTTTTACTGATTTTTATTATTTTTTGCCTAGTTTTTTTGTAATTTCTGAGGAGGGGGGTGTTAAAATCTCCAATTATGATTCTACATTAATTTCTCCCTTTAGATCTGTAAGTTTTTGTTTCATGTAATTTGAAGCTTCCTTATTAGATACATGTACATTTGTGATTATTATATCTTCCTAATAGCTTCTTTCATCATTATGAAATGCCCCTCTATCTCTTGTAAAACCTATTTTCTTGAAATTCATCTTTTATTACTATAGCAATTTTTCTTATGCTTACCCTTTGCATGGCATGTCTTTTCCATTCTTTTCAAACTATCTGTGTCTTATATTTAAAATCTCTCTTGTAGCTAGATATAATTGAATGTTGCTTTTTGTAAATTCAGTCTGACAGTGTTTGCCTCTTAGTGGGAATATTAGTCCATTTAATGTAATAATTGATATGGTTGGGTTTAGGTCTGCCATTTTGCTATTTGTTTTCTATTTGCCCCATGTGGGTTTTGTTCCTCTGTTCCCCTTTTTTGTTATTATTTTTGCCTTCTTTGGGGTTAACAAAATATATTTTAGTATTGAATTTTAATTCTTCTATTGGCTTTGCTTTTTTATTTTGCATTATTTTTTAGTGGTTGAACTGAGGATTACATTTTGCATCCTTAATTTATTATAATCAACAGCGTTAATGGCGTACCATTTCATGTAAAATGTAAAAATCTTGCAAGTATAAATACATTTACCACCCCTGCTGCTTCTACAACTGTTACCATATTTTATATCTATATATAATATAAACACCACTTAAAATGCTGGATTTTTTTTTCTTTAAACAGTTATCTTTCACAGAAATTTTTTAAGAGAATTTTTTGAAAGATCATTCTTTTATTTCTCTTAACCCACACAGTACCATTTTTGGTGCTTATCATTCCTTCCTGGAGATGGGAGTTTCTATGTGGTGTCATTTCCCTTCAGCAATTCTTAAAGTGCAAGTATGCTGGCAACAAATTCTCAGCTTGCTTTTATCAGAGAATGTCTATTTCATCTTCATTTTTGAAGGCTTTTTTTCTGGATATAGAATTCTAGGTTCCTTTGGTACTTAAAAGGTGTCATTCATATAATTTTTTTTGTCATTTGTTGTCATCTGGCACTGTGTTACTTTGATGGGAAGTTATATTTTTCATTTGTGGTGGTGTTCCCTTTTTTGTAATGTCTTTTTTTCTCTCTGTCTCTGATTTCAGGATGTTTCTCTTTATCTATGGTTTTCAGCAGTTTGATTCTAATATACCAATGTGTGAATTTATTTGCAAGGAGCCCTGGTGGCACAGTGCTTAAAGCAATCAAATGCTAACCGAAAGGCCAGCAGTTCAAAACCACCAGCGGCTCCTCAGGAGAAAGATGTGGCAGTCTGCATCCGTAAAGGTTTACAGCCTTGGAAACCCTATGGGATTGCTATGAGTCGAATTTGAGTCGATGGCCGTGGATTTGGTTTTTGGTTGGATTTCTTTGCATTTATCCTGTTTACAGTTTACTGTGCTTCTTTCATCTGTAAATTACTGTATTTCTCCAAGTTGACTAAATGTCAGTCTTTTTTCTCTTTATTCTTCAGATTGGTTAATTTCTATTGACGCTTTCTTTTGCCAGCCCTGATCTGCTTTTAAGCCTATCCAGTTAATTTTTTTATTTTAGATATTTTTTAGTTATAGAATTTCCATTTCCATTAATTTCTATTTCTCTGTGGAGATTCCCTCTTCTATCCTCTCACTATGATCATCTGTTTCCTTTAAGTACTTAAGCATTTATAAAAGCTTTTTTTTAATGCTTTTTTGCTAATTACAGTGTTTAGGTCATCATGACTTTGGTGTCTTTTGCCTACTTTTTCTCTTGACTGTGAATTGCATTTTCCTGCCTTATTGGCTTGATTTAGATTTTGATTGTGTAGTGGACGTTGTGGGTAGTATGTTGTAGAGTCTTTGGTTTCTGTTATTTCTCTGAAAACTGTTGATTTTTGTTTTGCCAAGCATTTCAGTTACTGATGGATCATCTTGAGCTTGTGGAGGCTTTGTTTATACTTTGTTAGAGAGGGACTGTTTCAGCTTTTTCCTTAGTCCTGTGGCATCTTTCAGAAACCCTGTTGGTGTAGTGGTTAAGTGCTATGGCTGCAAATCAAAAGGTCAGCAGTTCAGATCCACCAGGTGCTCCTTGGAAACTCTGTGGGGCAGTTCTACTCTGTCCTGTAGGGTCACTATGAGTTGGAATCGATTCAATGGCAACAGGTTTGGTTTTATGGCATCTTTTTTAGTTCTGGGCATAGTTTTTACCCCTAAGATGTGGTCCCCCTTGAATTTTAATGGAAAGCCCCAAGGTGCTTACCAAGCCATCTAACTTTGTAGAATTCAAACTCCAAACTGTCTCCCTGCATTGGGCAGCAGCTGAAGTCTCTGTTCAGCTCTTTCAGCCTTCTAGCTGTTGTTTTCCCCTGGGCTCCCACACATGGGATTTTCTTCTCAATTACCAGTTATGGTAGCAGGAAACTTTGTGTTCTGATGACTCAGGCTAATTAGAGTGCAGCTTTCTGCTTCAGTTCTGGCCAGCCTTCTTCGTGCTGAGGAATTCCCTCTGAGTAAAAGCTGTATAAATGCGGGTCTCTTTTTTCAAGTGTTGGATTCCTTTCAGATTTTGCCTGTTTTTGGCTGGTCTCCAGTACCTATTTTAAATAGTTGATTTTATATTTTGTTCAGAGTTTATCATGGTTATATGTGGAATGGTTAGTACAATACAGGCGAATCCATCATTACTGGAACTAGAATGCCAACTTTTTTTTTAATTTACTTCAGATGGTTAATATATTTCTGATTATGACCTCATTAGTTCCATTTAATGTTTATTCTTAGATACGAAGAGAAGGCTGCTAAAGACTTGGAGCGATACAATAGGCAAATGAAGAGAGCCACTGAACAGGAGTCACAAATATCATTAAAAGATGGCGGGAAAAAGACAAAACTCATCAGTGCATGGCATTTGGCCCAGAAGCACAAGTCAAAAACTTCATCATCTAATCAGGCAAAACTTGATGAGCTCTTTCAGTCCCAAATTGAAAAAAACAAGACCGAAAGTATTAAAATAGTACAGATCCCCTTTTCTATGAGAAACTTAAAAATAAATTTTGAGAAGCATAAGAAATTGGACTTAGAAGAGAATGATGAACTTTGCTTGATCCACAATCTTAAGTTTCCTGATGCCTGGCTAATTGCATCGAAAAAAGAAGTAATGTTATTAAATCCGTATAGAATGGAAGAAGCCCTGCTTTTTAAAAGACTTCTTGAGAATCATAAACTTCCTGCAGAGCCACTGGAAAAGCCAATTATACTAACAGAGAGGTATGGTGAAGAAATATAAATTTTCTATTTTTTTAAATCTAAAAACATGTATTAATCCATACTAACTAGATTAGAAATTGGAGGTAAAAAGTTGAAAGTGTTTTCTTGTAGGGGAAAAGGGTTTTTATTTAAGAAATCTTTTTTTAAACTAGATTTTTAATCCTAGTGGAATTAATTGCTTTGAAGCGAGTAATTTTAGAATATCCTAGATAGCTCACTTCTGTCATTAATAAATATCAAGCTCAGATCTCTCCTGTGCATTAGTCACTTCCCTAGGGTAATGGTGAAGTTAGGTTGCCATGATGCTCCTCAAGTGTGCTGTTTGTTTCAACATTTTCAAACATATACCAAAATAGATAGAATTATACAGTCAGCACCTTTATCAACAATTATCCAGATTTTGCTACGTTCGCTTCATCTGTCCTATCTACCTGTATCTGTATATTTTCCATTTGTTTAAGTATTTTAGAACAATTCCCACATCTTTCAGTATATATCTCTCAGAAATGACTATTTTCTTACCTAATGTCTTTTTCTTACCTTCCACAGTAATAATTCCTTGAAATTGTTCTCCATTGTCTCAAAAATGTCCTTTCTTATAGTTTTAAAATGTTTTAATTTAGTTGGTATCTTAACCAGGTCCACACATTGTATTTGGTTGTTATGTCTCTTAAATCTCTTTTTAGATCAGAAGGCTTGAATAGATTTAGATTGTACTTTCTGGCAAGATTGCCTAGTAGGTGATACTATATGCTTCATATTTCCTCTTGTCAAAAGACATTTATCAGTGGGTTCAGCTGATGACAGCCTGATCCTTTCACCTGAAAGTTTCCCATCAGTCTTTCCATCTAATGGTTTCATTCGTTGATAATTTTTGCCTGAATTATTTTATTACAAGTTACAAAATGGGGTATTGCTTTTTATATCCTATATGAGCTCATTGCTTCCTGTAAGAATGAATAACTAATGACTAATATATTAACATTTCTTTTTTTATACTTAATATTTCTTTTTTCAGTCTGACAGAGGTAGAAGAGAACATATGTATGGCAAAAGAGATAAAAACCCTGAAATTAAAAAGAATTTGTTCTCTAGGACACATCACTAGATTGCTCTGTTTCAGATAGGGCCAGACACAGAAAAGCATTTATTAAAGCTGCCTTTTTAAATAAGGGCAACAGTAACCCTAACCTTAAGTTTAGTAACCTTAAGTAAAAATCTAGCATATTTCATAGTATTGAGGTTGGCTTAGGAAACTGTCAAAGGAAGAATAAGGAAACAGTGCTTTAGACTGTTGTAAAATATATAGCTCAAAAATCTGATAGTACCTTTCTCTTTCTCCCCTGAAAAAGGAGTTAGGGCATAACTGAATTTTTAAACTTGATTCCTTTTCTAAATGGTATTTGTAAACGTTCATTTAGATCTAAAATCTTTTCGTGCTTGTCCAAATTTTAGATTTTTAGAAATATTTTTCTATGTGATGTACTGTTACTCAAAAACAAATACATTAAAAACTATTATTATGGGCCCAGCCTAGCCTGAAAATAAATCTTTCTTCATTGAACATGGACAGCAACAAAGCTTGATCCGAAATTGTTTTCCCTCTTCTTCTGAAATAATGACATCCCTATTACGTTTATAAGTTTTTCAAAACTGAGTTATAGACTAATTGTCTCACAGTGTTGGCAGAGTTGGATTCAGTTTTCTCACCAGAGTTCTAATCCCAGTTTGTGTAAGGTGCCCAATAATAGTAACAGTAGCAATGGCTGATGTTTACTGAGCACTTAACTATATGATAGGAACTTTGTTAAGCCCTTTGCTTTCATGATCTTATCTTCATAACAATCTTATGAGGTAGGTACTATTATCCACATCTTATAGATGAAGAAACTGGAACAGAATGGTTAAGTAACTTACCTAGGCCTACACAGCCAGTAAATAAGTGAGAGAGCCATGATTCCAATTTAGACAGTCTAACTCCAGAGCCTACACCATAAATTGCTATATTATATCATCATCACCACCACCACCAGCAGCTCTCAGGTTGATTTTCTGAGCATTGGTTAGACCAGCAAGGTATTTTTGTCATATACTGTCATATACATAACCAGAGTTCTCTCATAGCCAGAGGGTGATCCTCAACCTTTCAGAGTTTAAGCAAAGACATCATCTATCGACTTACTCTTTCAATGAGTAGAGAGTTATAATGAAGAAATACCCCTCATCATCCTTCACTGGAACATAGGACAGTGCTTCGTGTACCTAGGACAGAGTGTAGCACTTGGTAGGCACTTGAATAGTCATTGAATGAATGGGAAAATAGAAACCACCCACATGTCAACCACAACAACTTCTTGCAATGACTTGTGAGGCAGCAAAACGAAGCACAGAACAAATAGGAAAGGTTGATTTGTGCCCAAGATAATCTTTGACTGCCTCAAAAGTTTGTTTAGGGCCCAGACCACTCAAAATCATTTCATATGCCACCTTCGACAAACATTCCATGCCTGCAGTAGACTGAAGGACGCTCTCCTCAGTTCTGAATTGCTAAGTTTATAAGTTGTTAGCTGAAAAGGATAATATTATGATTTTGTTATTTGAGCAGCCTTGGCTAGCAATTGAAAATTAGGCAGAATGGATGACTTGGGTAACTTGACAGTGTATTACTGTGTCTGTTTTAAAGGTATAAAGTGGCATTATTTATAAAGTTCTCATTTGTATTAGAGCACATTTCTTGATACCACATTTAGTTTGTAATATTCTAAAAGATAGAGACTGCCTTTTATGTCTATCCCTTCTCCTTTCTGTGAATTGTATGCAGTAGGTTGTCTATAAAATATTAACAGAAATGTAAAAAATAAAACTTTCTCACAGAGCTACTTACACCTTTGTATTTTGGTTAACAAGTTAAAGAGCCATAATTTCTTTTTCAGTCTGTTTAATGGATCTCATTATTTAGAGGTTTTATATAAAATGGCAACAGATGACCAAGGATACAGTGGAGCAACTTACCTGTCTGATCCTCGTCTTACAGCAAATGGCTTTAAGATAAAATTAATACCAGGTATGATAATGTGGTTTAATATCTTCTGACTTGGAAAAATAAATCTTGTTCTAAGGGTTACATTTAGGTTTTATAATTTACAGATATCATGGCATATTTTTGTCTCACCAAAAGTAAAATGTCAGCTGTGAAGAAACAGTCTTACGTTACAAAGCCCACCTCTGCAGGAAACAAGCAAGTTTGGCATCTGTTTCAGTCCTTTGCCTTACATTTTCATTTTTATAACTAATCAACTAGTTTTATCATAATTGTTGCCATCCCTCAAACTACCTGCTTTGTTCAACAAAATTATTAAAATTATTCCTTTAGGTGATGAAATTGAAATAAATATTTAGGACACTGGAATGGCCTAACAAAAATGGAAATCTCCTTTTTTTTTTTTAAAGCGTTTACTTGTTTTTCCAAGTAGACATTTAACATCAGCAATCTTATTATTTGGAGAGTGGATGGTTTGATCCCATGGTTTTGCCAAAAGACTGTGATATGACCTTCTCTGTTTAGTTTAAATGAAAATTCATTTAAAAAATAAAAATGAAAAACCAAACCCACTGCCATCAAGTAGATTCCAACTCATACCAACCCTACAGGGCAGATTAGAACTGCCCCAGATGTTTCCAAGGCTATAAATCTTTACGGAAGCAGACTGCCACATCTTTCTCCCATGGAGTGGTTGGTGAGTTTGAACCGCCAACCTTTCAGTTAGCAGCCAAGTACTTTAACCACTGCACCAATAGGGCTGATGAAAATTCATCCAATGGAGAGAAAAAAAGAAAAGCCTTCTGGCTAGGGAACTTCAGCTTTCTTGCGTGGCCCCTTCTCTGTTTTTTCATAGTTTCCATACTTAACTGCCTTCCTAGGCTGGTTTTGTCCAATTACTTTTTCTTCTCTGGTATTAAGGGGCACAGTGGCACCACAAAGACTGACAATGGTCCCCCCTTCTACTCCTACACTTGTCATGACCAAAGTATAGAAAAAGAAAATTTAACCAAAACAGTGTTGAAGATTTTTAAAGGAATGTTTTCCTGAGACATGAAAAGAAAACAAAAACAATGTACAAAAGCATGAAATTAGGTATATACAGGAAATGCTTTGCTGTACTAAAACTAACTTGTGTAGTTTTAGGATAAAAACCAAACTCGTTGCCATTGAGTCTGTTCGAACTCATAGTGATCATATAGGGTTTCTAAGGAGTGGTTGGTGGATTCAAACTTGGTTAGCAGCCAAGCTCTTAACCACTGTGCCACCAGGGCTCCAGTTTTAGGATACCTACACTAAATTTCTTACCTCTCACCTCAACCCTAGATGGGGTAATGGTAACCAAAGATACTGAGACTTAAGGTAGAGAGAGGTGGTCCAAATCCGCAATTTAAAAACAATGTGTCCTTGGAAAAGTCAGTTTACCCTTGCTATTTCCTCATCAATAACAACAGCTAATATTTATTGAATAATTACTATGTTCAGGGCACTAGTCTAAGTATTAAATGTCTTCATTTAATCTTCCTAATAGCCTTATGAAGTAGATACTCTTACTGTCCCCATTTTACATATGGAAAAATCAAGGCATAGAAAAATTTGCTTAAGGATACACAAGTTAGTTGTACAACCAGAATTTGAATCCAGGCAATCTGCCTTTGGAGCCTACCTCTTAATTCATTTGTTACACTGCTTCTGTATTAACACTGGGATATATACTTCATAAAGTAATTGTGAGGACTTAATGAGATGACTTACATAAATCAGTTAAACGTAGTACTTGGCAGTGGTAGATATTCAAATATTCTCTTTTCTCCTCATTTTCCACCCCTCTTTCAGGCCTGAACTGACTTGTAGATTCTTCTTTTGCTCCTAGAAATCTTTTTCTTTGGGGTCCCTGGCATCTTTTTAATATATCTGAAGTATGGCAAGTTTGTTTTGTTTGTGTGTGTAGCAAGATGTTTTATTCTAAGCTTAATCTAATTGTCTAATTAGCTACGTGCATTGGTGGCAGGTACCATTTTTATGAAAGATTAAATGTCAGTTTTTCTCATCGCAGAAGTTCCTTTTAACAGTCAGGGTAACTATCATGTCTGTTGCATGAGTATGTTCATTTTTTAACTACCCAGTAAGTTGCTGTCTGACAGACACCTTTAGCTCTTAGCTTGTAGATAGTATTTTTTAAGCCTATGGAGTGACAGGTACTTTCATGGCACTGAAGATGCAACACTGAGTAAGACCATCAGCTGCAAACCAATTTGACTGGACTTAGATTATCATCAGAAGTATTTCCCTTATCAATAACAAACCAAGTTAAAGACATTCATGTTTTCTTTCTTCACAGTCTGTTTTAGTCTTCTTTTTTCTGCATTGTTTTTCATAAGTCAGATTTTTTAAGGACCACTTCTCTGTCTTTTAGTGAGAGTATTATTTTACTAACTTTGAATTAACAGTTTGCTGGTTGTCAAAATGGGTAAGGAATTTGAAAGAAAAGAATAAATACATCTGGTTTTGAAGAGAAAGATTCTTAGTGACCTTAAGAACTTTTCTTATTAATAGGAATACCTTTCTGTTCTGCATCAATAAGAATTCCACATTTTAGCAAGTGAAAACTTGTCAAACCACTTTTTCATTTGAAGTATTTTCCCTAAAAATTGGGAAGCCTTTCATAGCATTTGATGGAAACTTCTTGAAAGTTAATTGTGCAGTCCCAAATGTCTCTTAAGATTTCCATATCTGATTTTGCAAACACAAAGATTAAAATATTAATTTGCTTATCCCTTGCCAAATTCTTTTACCCATATCCACAAGTAATTCTGTGAAATGTGTATAATTTTCTCGGGCACATATAGTCAGTATAAGACTTTTCAATCTAATCATACTATAAAAGGTTTAGAACCAGCAATAGTGAAAAGACTCTTAGAGTGATACTTTTGAAAGTTTTCTTTATATATATGCAAAAAGAAATGTGAGCTAGAATATCCTTCTACTTCCTCTTTGTCTAAACCCTGTTTCAAATCCCTTTTAAGTTCCCCTGACTGTTGATGCTCTCATTGTGTCTCCCTTCACTGAACTCTGCAGCTTAATGCTTGATTATATATTATCTTACATTATTCCCCAGTTATTTCCTGAGAACAATACTAGGATGTGTTTTCTGTTCAGTCTGCCACCACTGTAACTGCTGTCCATGAACTAATCTGTAACTGGGAACAGGTTAGAGATAAGATCATTGAAGTTCCCAGGGTCTGAAAATCTTCAAGCTACATCATGCCTCTTCTTTTATTAATATAATGATAAGTACTACTTACCTAAGATTGGACTACCCCTTTTTCCTTGCTTATAAGTGACATTCTGTGGACTTCAATTTTAAGAAACACTGTTATGTAGATACAGCCAGAGAAGACAAATTTCTGCTGTTTTCCAAAATCATAAAATAAGTACTAAAGCTAAATTTGATGCTTTGGAATATGTGCTGTTAGAGATAATCTCCCCAGTTATACATCCAATAATGTAGCTAATTTTTAGTTATAGTTTACTAAATTATTTAAAGTAGTTTAAATAATAGTTTAAAAAGCAAAGGTGTCATTTTGAGAACTAAGGTGTGCCTGACCCATGCCATGATATTTTCAGTCACCGCATACGTGTGCAAGAGCTGGGCAGTGAATAACTCAACACCTTTGAATTATGGTGTTGGCAAAGAATATTGAATATACCGTAGACTGCCAAAAGAACGAACGAATCTGTCTTGGAAAACAGCCAGATTGCTCCTTGGAAGAGAGGATGGCAAGACTTTGTCTCACGTATTCTGGACATGTTATCAGGAGGTACCAGTCCTGGAGAAGGACATCATGCTTGGCAAAGTAGAGGGTCAGTGAAAAAGAGGAAGACCCTCAACAAGATGGATTGACACAGTGACTGCAACAGTGGGCTCAAACATAGCAATTGTGAGGATGACACAGGACTGGGCAGTGTTTCCTTCTGTTGTACATAGGGTCACTTGAGTCAGAACCGACTCAATGGCACCTAAAAACAACGACAAAAATAATAGATAACGTCATTTTTAAGCATTGCCAAGTAAAATATTTTGAACAAACAGTATTTTATGTCTTCAAATTACTTATATATTATTAAATTACTGTTTGAGTATTTTTATAGTTTTTCAAATTAAAATAATCACAGAAGGAATTCAGGCCTTTAAGTTAGATATTAAACCAGTAGGATAGAATTTGAACAGCAGCAGTTGTTAAAACACTTAAACCAGTTTTATTTTAATAAATATCATGGGACTCTATTTTCTCTCCAAAGTAGGAAATGTTCTAAACAAATGTAAGCAACAGAACAGCAATAACTGAGATTAAACTACATAAAGCACATGTGGTGTCAATGAGCACTTATGACTTAATATGAATTTGAAATCCTGTGGGAGATTATTATTTGTTCTCCAAGTAAGGAAGTAAAACTTTGTCCTGACTATCTTGAATTCTAATGAAGATTAGCTAAATATTCTAACATTGGTATTGTTTTTAATGCACATGTTCTGGAATATAATTTAAACTACAATGACTGTATGTATGTTTTTATTTTTTTCTTTCAGGAGTTTCCATTGCTGAAAACTACTTAGAAATAGAAGGAATCGCTAATTGTCTCCCATTCTATGGAGTAACGGATTTAAAAGAAATTCTGAACGCTGTATTAAACAAAAATGCAAAGGAAGTTTATGAATGTAGACCTCGAAAAGTGATAAGTTATTTAGAGGTATGTATTATTAGATTGGAGCCCTGGTGGCACAGTGGTTAAGAGCTCGGCTGCTAACCAAAAGATCTACAATTCAAGTCCACCGGCAGCTCCTTGTAAACCCTATGGGGCTGTTCTACTCTGTCTTGTAGGGTTGCTATGAGTCGGAATTGACTCGATGGCAATGGGTTTGGTTTTGTTTGTTAGTTTTTTTCTTTTTTATTAGATTATGCAGGCTAACTAGGTTTTAAGATAGTAAATTGTTTCTTAAAATAGCCATTTTAAAGTACTAAACAGTTTCAAAATATTAATTTCAGTAAGTTTTTTTTTTTTTGTATAGAGATGATACTGTTTTTTAAAATTCTATTAAAAGTGTTACATCTAGACTGATTGTGATATACGGTATCATAGATCCTTACCATAACATTATTTCCTGGGTGCATATTGAGGAAGAATGAATGAGACATTTTGTAGTTTTTGTTTTTTTTTTAATTTCCCTTACAAAGGATTCAAAATTGCTCCATCTTAATACCATATACTTTTCTGAAAAGAACAGTAATATAATTCTAAGCCTTGATCTCTTTTAATAGGTCTTTATTACTGAATAAGTGGAGATTTTATTTTTCTAACAGTATCTATCACAAATGAGAACTGTAGCAATGGATTTTTAAACAGTTAATTCAAAATTAAATAATAGTGATGGAGGAAGATTATAAACTTAAAATGTCCAAGTATAGGATACCAAAAAAAAAAAAACCCAAACCCATTGCTGTCGAGTCAATTCCAACTCACAGCAACCCTATGGGACAGAGTAGAACCGCGCCATTGAGTTTCCAAGGAGCGCCTGGTAGATTCGAACTGCCAGCCTTTTGGGTAGCAGCCGTAGCACTTAACCACTACACCACCAGGGTTTCCAAAGATAGGATAGTAGAGGGAAAACAATAGTGATTGTTTTCAGAAATTATATTTTTAGAAGCAGTCACCATTGCTATTATTTTAACAACAAACCAGAACTTCATAATAGAATTTTTCTTTTTTTTAAATGAACCATTTTTGTTTAGAATATAATCACAGTGTGCCTGTTGCATTCTGAGGGTCAGACTTCCTCTACAGGAGAGTCTACTTTTGCCCTTTCTGAAAAATATGTTTAGTAATTTTTTATTAAAGTTCTTCGGGAGCTTTGTCTTGTGAATATTCCCAGCATATTGTGGGGCAATTTAACACTGGAAGTTTCTGGAGACTTCAAAGGAATCTTTTCTCGTGAAGAGCTGGTATGAACTTTAAAAAAAAAAAAGTTGAGGGAGTTGTGTGTAGTGTTTTGTGTATTGAATCTAGTAATCCAAAAGGAATGCAGGATGCTAAAAGATAGTATCCTTGAAATGTCTCACTTTAGAGCCTAAGTAGGGATAGATTACAGAAGGGTACTGGTGGACCAGGAGAATAAGGAGGGGCTGAAGAGATTAAAGGTCAAAGTGAAGAAAAAGAACAGATTTAGTTAGAATAAAGGAGTAGGATGTGTAGAATGATAATGGGAGAGGGGATGTAGTTAGAAAAATATTAGGATTCAAGATCTTTCAAGTACAGTGTTTTAAAAAAATAAATCTTAAAAGAAGCCAATATTGCGAATACTATTTTATCTCCAAATCTGATCCTCCCATGGTCTTTATTACCTCAGAAAATAGCATTAGTATACCGGAAATACAGGCATTATCGTTGTGACTGCATCCCTCATAACCAATCCATCAGCTAGTCTTCTTGATTCTACCTCCAACTCATATCAGGAATCTTTCAAACTCCCTCCATCACTACTGCTATCACTCTAATCAAAGCTCTCACCAGGACTGCGGTGATTGCCTGCAGACTCCCTCCTTTTCTTTTTGTCCTGCCTCAAAACCATTCATTATTCAGACAGCCACCAGACTGAATATCAGACCCTTGCTTAAAAACTCTCTTGTTTACTTCCAGTGCATTCAGATTAAAATCCACATTGTTCATCTTGTCCTAGAGGGACCTATTTGATCTGGCTTCTGCCTAAACCCTTATCTTGCTTCTTTTTTCCCTTTAACAGCTATGCTGTACTCACACTGGACATTCTATTCTTTCTCTTCCCTCTACCTGAAATACTTTTCTTCTCCTGTAATCTTTGTATGACAGTTCCTTATTTAAGTTGAAATTTAAGTGTCACCTCCTCAAGGAAACCTTTGCCAACTATGGAATCACTATCCATCTTTTTCTGCATTACTACTCACTGAAATTTTCTTTATTTTCTGTTTTTCTGCACTGGGATGTAATTTCACCAGAGCAGAGATCTTGTTTGTCTTGTTCTCCCCTAGAACATACAGTAGTGACTAGCGGATAATTGGCGCTCCTTAAATATTTGCTGAGTGAATAAATCAATTTTCTATTTTCCTTTTTGCCAAGATAGCATGTTTTCTGCTTCAGGGTATATTGCTGTAAAATGTGTGATTTTCTCTTCACAGGGAGAAGCAGTGCGTCTATCTAGACAGCTACCCATGTACTTATCAAAAGAGGACATCCTAGACATTGTCCACAGAATAAAGCACCAGCTTGGAAATGAAATTAAAGGATGTGTTCATGGTCGCCCATTTTTTCATCATTTAATTCATCTTCCAGAAACTGATTAACTATGTTTAAGAAAGCTAGTTGAAATTGGTTCAGTCATAAGACATTTTGAGTCAGTTTTTAAACCATCTTTTGTATTATTATGTGTTAAAGTTTGTTTTATAAATGAGGGTTCACTGGCTTGTCTGTATAATGAGAAGTTTTTCAAAAATTGTAGAAAAATTAAACTAGTATAGACTATTAATTGATTCTCAGGAACCAGCCTTTGTAATAATTATCAGTTGCAGACTCCAAATTGGAAAATATGTAGTATTCTTGTGTGGTTGATTTAACAGGTCAGCTCGGTGCAAGGAGAAATCACACTTCACACCAACAGACTCAACCAGCATGTCTGGCAGAAGTTGTCAATCTTGTTTAAAGTAGAATAAAAACAAGAAGTTGGAGAAAGGGAAAAAAAGCTTAAGAGAAATAAGAGAATATAGCTTCAGCAATCTTGGCATGTCCATCTTGGGAGTAACAGCTTATATATATTGTTGCTGTCTCATAATTAATGTGCTTTGAGGTCAAAGTTTGTCAGAGAAATGGCAAGATCTAGATTTTTAACAGAAAATTTAGGTTAAGATTGTTCAATGTATGAGTCCTTTCAAAACAGGTCCCACAGTCACCAGAATTCTTAATTTACAAAAAGTTGAAACAACTTTCAATGAATGTATTTGTTGTGTAAAGTATATTATACTGGATATTATACTGGATACCACCCTCCCTTAATCCTCCAGGAGAATCTTTAAATTCTTAGGATCCTTGTGTTACAAGTTACAAATTGTGAATTCTGGAATTCTACCTGCAGCCTGGCCTTTTCTCCTGACAATAGTGACCTGTTTCTTGTGACCGAAATACTGGTTTTTTTCCCCCATTACTGCTTTATAAATTCAGGGCCTGTTTCTGGGAGTAATCCTTTTTAATTAGCTGGGTAAATTGAGAGAAGAGAAACTCATAGGGTGATAGAAGATTATAAAATTTGCACCAGCCCTAAGCAAAATTTTAGACTCATTTTCTAGCTGATACAGTCTGTGTTGGGTGGTGCAAATGGTTAAGGAGCTCAGCTCCTAACCAAAAGGTTGGAGTGCACCCGGAGTTGTCGTGGAAGAAAGGCCTTCCTGGCGATAAAATCAGCGGTTGAAAAACCCTATGGAGAACAGTTCTACTCTTATGCACATGGAGTCGCCGTGAGTTAAGAGTTGACTAGATAGCAACTTCTTTTGCATTTTGTTCTCATTTTCTTTCTAGTCCTGAATTCTTTCAAATTTAGTGGTGATGGCAGAAGTATTTACCACTTATTTGCTAATGCATTTAACCTTGGAATCTCATCTAGCCTTCACCACAAATTTAGGATTGTAAGTACTACTGAGACTAATCCCAGAGCTCGTGTTCCTAAGCACTATTTATATAGCCTGTCGTGAAATATATATGAGTCGTGTGGGTCAACAAAGTATAGGTGTTTGGGGAAAAAACAAAAGTATAAAACTCCCTGATGCCACGCGAACAGCAGGCTTCTTAAATCAACCGTGGGTTGCAAAGTTTTTCAAAAGGAGTCTGGAGTAGTGGAGGTGGGTGAGTTGCTTTTTCTTCCTGGGCCCCTTAGCACAGGTGGGGGCGTGGGGCTTCCCGTGGGCCCCGCCTCCCACCGCTGAGGCCCCCTGGCCTCTGCCTCCGCAGCCGTCCCCCTCTCCTACATGCCCTTGCAGCAGCAGCGCCGCAGGACAAAATAGCCAGAGAAGGCGCAGCGAAGGCGAAGCCGTTGCCCCGGGATGGTGGTAAAGGCTGCTGCTGGCTAGAAGACTGGTGCTCGAGGTTAAGGGCAAGGCAGGTACATCCGAGAGAAAGGAAAGCCCTACCCGGAAATGCTCATTTTTACCTACGTAGGGTTCCACCACACTGGGCTGGGACTATTAGAGACCTTGGCCAGGGAGGGGGAAGACCCTCAAGGTGGGAAGCCCCAAAAAGCCCTTGAGACCCAAAGACATTGCCTAGGATTTCATCCTTTCCTATACCTCAGGGGTGCCCCCAAAGCCATGCAGAAGTGAAGCCTGCAGGCCCCCCTTAGATGGACCTTTCCACGGAAGGGTAGCCATGCTTGGCCCAGCAGTGCCTGCCTGTGAGGTTTCAGAAATTTAATGTACTGAAAAATGTCGGGTCTGAATTCAGATTGATAAGTTATCTGTTGTTATTTTCCTTGGGCATTTGATTCTCTGTTTTCATTCAGATTTTGTGGCTCAAGTTGCAGATATTGCAGTCCATCCCATTGTCCGACCCATTTTTCCCTCTCCAACCACATAACTCATTTCTTTTATTATTTTTTTTCTTTTTGTAAGGTGCTTCAGTCTTTTTTGGAAGGGGGACGGGCTGCTAAGTAAACTTGGATTAGGGTGTACAATGAAAATCAAAAATGTGTTAACTCTTCCACAGCACATCTTGGAAATAATACATATGTCTGGGGCGCCCAAATGTTGACACACTAACTTAAAAACCAAAGTTGTCAAGCAACTAAAATTCCAATAATGAAAATAAAGTATTTAAATGAACTAGACTTGTTCTTGGAGCATTCTGTATTGGTCTGGACAAACCAGTGTTCATGGATTCATAATTGCTTGAAAGAATTTTTGAGGGCTCTAATAAACTGATTATACAGATGAGAAATAGAGGCTCAAAGTGATTAAGTGATTTGGCTGAGTGCACACAGCTAATCTTGTACTCATACTAGTTCCACTTCAAATATTGATATTACCATAAATAAAACCAAGGTAAGTACTGAAAAAAAAACCACAAATTTTACTGCAAAGCCAATTTTTTTTTTAAATGATTTGAAATTGTCAGCTACTTAAGCTTATGTCAAACTACATAAGCATGAATAATCACAAATTAATTGTTACCTTATTCTGGATCTCTTAGTTGATCTCACCTAACTCTAACACTTCACTTCTTCAATGTATTTTTCATTGTTTCCTATAATACTGGCAACACACTATTTGAATCTTAACACAACTGCCTTGAGATTGTCTTCTCTGCTTACTTGATATTTGACCACACTTTTTATATCTCCTTAAAGCACTACAAAGTAAAGATCCTTTCTCTAGGTTTTAAAACTATATCCCAGTGATTATCAAATTTGAGCAGGCATCAGAATCACCTGGAAGGTTTGTTAAAACACAGATTGCTAGGCACTGCGCCCAGAGTTCCTGATTCAGAAGATCTGGGATAGGACCCAGAAATTTGCATTTCTGTTTCTACCAAGTTCTCAGGCAATGTTGGTGCTACTGGTGAAGGACCACAGTTGGAGAACAATTGCCTATCCTATATCAGAGTGACAATCTCAAGTCCATTTCTTCTAACCCATATTTTTTCTTACTGATTCTTACTAAAATCTACCATGTCAGTAAACAAAAAACACTAAGCATTAGAAGACCTCATACTGGCTGTGCTAGTAAACCTGCATTTTTTCATCTCTGAAATGAAAATGCTGAACTTGTTCTCCAAGGGCCCAGTCATTTCTAATATCCTGTGATTTTGTTTCTTTTTTGTCTTGAATATTCAATATAGCATGACTGGAATGACCTCTTTTCATTAAATTATCTCTACATTACTAATGACTAAATGCCTCTGAACTAGTCCACTTGTTCAAAAAATCTTCAAACTGTCAGAGAAAAAAATAGATTTTTGTCCACTCAGGTTGGACTGGAAATCACTGCAACAGACTTGCCAATCTTCATTTCAGTTGTATATTCATCTCTGTGTTTATTTGATGAATTATTGCCACACAGCGCTAAGTAGAGTGAAGACACTCCTTGTTCTCTGGAGTTTCTAAGAGGATCTAGAGTTTCCAAGAGGAGATAAACTATTACACTAAGTGTTATGATAATGCTATGTAGTACATATTAGGGAAGCATAAAGGAAACATCCATTCCCAGCTTAGGGAAACCTATGGAAGGAACCTGTGAGCTGAATCTTAAAACGATAAGGTATTATCCAGGAGAAGAAGGAAGAGTCAGGTAGGAGAAACGGCATATGTCAGTGTATTTGTGAGTGCAGGGAATTCTGCATTACTGGATCTTGAAAAGTAAGCAGAGATTAGAATGATAGGCGGTACCTTGATCTTAGGGGTCTCAAATCTTTACTGATTTGGGAATTTTATCCCAATGACTGTAGGAAGCCGTTAAAAATTCCAAGCAGGGAAATAGTGAAGTTTAGAATACTTTAGCGAAGTTATGAAAGCATATAGAGCAAGTTATCAAGCTACTTGAGAATTCAAACAGTTTGAATGATTGAACCAAAAGGGATAAAAGCTCTCTGGTAACAAATAGAAAAAGTAAATTTGATAGCTATTGAGGCCCTCATGGCCTTGCAGGATTTTCTGCTTAGATTCTCTGGGATGGTACCATAGTAGAACTAAAGTGCAAAAGAGGTCTCTCCCATTTTGGCTAATTTATAACATGATGACTGGAAGAATAGAGTCTCATTTGCCTTTCTTTTCTACACTAGAAGTCAGTATGATTTCATCTAATCCTTTGGAGTTTCATATTAAAAAAAAAAAAAACCCATTGCCATCTAGTCGATTCTCATAGCAACCCTATATGACAGAGTAGAACTGCCCCATAGGGTTTCCAAGGAGCGTCTGGTGGATTTGAACTACCGACCTTTTGGTTAGCAGCTGTAGCTCTTAACCACTACGCCATCAGAGTTTCATATAGACTAGGAAAACCATACATCTTTTTATTATTATATCAGGTATTTAAATTTTAATCTAGGCTTGTGTCAGGCCTTTTAGAAACCCACCTAAAGTTTCTAGTTGTTCCTTTAAATGAAAAAAAATTTTTATAATGGATTTAAATATTAAAATATATTTTCAGAGGTGCGGCCAAGATGGCAGAGTAGTCAGACGCTTCAGGTGGTCCCTCTTACAACAAAGACCTGAAAAAACAAGTGAATCGATCATATTTAACAATCTAGGAGCCCTGAACATCAAAGGCAAAGTTGAAGAATCAGACTGAGTGGTAGGGGGAGGAAGAGACAGTTCGGAAGCAGTGAGGACTTGCCAGACCTGACTGGGCAAGAGCCTGAGCCCTTCAGGCTGAGCCAGCTCGTGGCGCTTGGGAGGCATTTTCCACATCAGGAGAGATCCAGCAGCAGAGAGTCTACTCGACCATCGAGAACCAGTGAGAAGCAGCCCTCGATCGGCGAAAGGTGA